CACCACAATCAAGATATGGAACATTTCCATCTTCTCAAAACATTCCCCATGTCCTTTTGTGATTTAACCCATTCATCAGCCCCAGGCTTCTGGCCAACATTGACTTGTTTTGTTTTCTGTGCCTGTAGTTTTGCTTTTTCTAGAATGTCATGGAAACAGAATCATACCTCATGGAGCTCTTTGCAGACTCTTTCGCTTTTGAAATTAATCACATTATTTGTCAGATAAGAAGATAATGTGTATGCATTGTGAGAAATTTAACATATTTAAGAAAGAAGGAAACACAAAAACGTTTCCCTGCAGTGAACATGGGCGAGCAGGTGTCTGTTGGACATCCGATTTCATTTCCTTTGGGTATATACCCAGAAGTGGGGTGGCTAGGTTATGAGGGAGTTCCATCTTTAAGTTTTTGAGGAACTGCCATACTGTTCTCCACGTTGGCTGGTCTAATTCACCTCCCCGCTAACAGTATGAAATGGTTCTCTTCTTCCTATCCTCACAGCAGTAACCAGAACAGAGGACTTTGAATGTTTCACCTCAAAGAAATGATAAATGCTTGAGGTGGTGGGGATTCTAATCATCCTGATTTGATCGCTAAACAAGATATCCATGCATCCTAACTTCACACTGTATCCCATGCATTTATACCATTATCATGTTCAATTAAAATAATTAAAATAATAAAAGTGCTTCCTACAAATAATCATTGTTAATGTCTTGATGTGTTTCAGTGCTTGCTTCAGCAGCACATATACTAAAATTAATGTGTTTCAGTCTTTTATTTCACTCTGTATGCACCTGCACTCACCCGTATGGAAACAAAGTATAGAAAAGTTTGATCTATATAGGGTGAATGTGTGACTGTGGAAGCCATAGATAGAAATGGTGAATTACTAAGAATGGAATAAATGAATGAATGAATGAACCATCCAACAAACAAACCGAGGTCAACCATTCCCTTCACCAGCCTGGTAAGTGCCTCTCATTCTTTCTTTTTTGCTCTACCGTCAGAAGAAGTAGAAAAATGCCTTTTGGAGCATTATTGCAAGAGCCACCACAGAGGGGGTGAAACTTGCTTTCAAATGCCTTGGCATTTCTGACTCACGCCTGTACTGCCTGGCAAGACCACCGAGTAACTGCTTTTCCCGTCTCTAGGGCAGGCCGCACACATCGCCCTGCGGAGCCGGGCCCACGTGATACCAAGGAGACGTGAAGAGTGCAGAGAAGGGAGCTGGCAGAGAGAGGCGGGAGCCGTCTGCTCAGAGCTGTTGATGCGCCCGCAGGCCCGTGATTGGTGTGTGCTTGGCGATGGCAGGCCGGTGAACCTGGGCCCTACCTGCTCTTTTGCAGCGTTGGCAGAGAACTGAGAGTCTGTGTCTAAGACCCAAGGTGAGGGTGAGCAAAGGGAGACGGAAATGGAGCTAAGACCACGCTTGCTTTCCCCTTTGCTCCTAATCTTTGCTACTACAGGTAGTCATAACAACAGCAGTTATCACTTGTTGAAGTCTCTAACCTGGGTCAGGCACAGGGTTAAGCCCTTCATATAAGCTGTCTCACTGAACCACAGCAACCACCGTTTGAGCTAAGCATCATTATTGCCCCCTCTCTTACAAGCAAGGAAGAAGCCAAGGCTCAGAGAGGTTCAGTGAATGCACAAAGCCACACAGCAACTTCGCACAGTGCCTGGGCTACAGTGAACACCCTATCAACGGTAGCTGTTATGGTTAGTGTGACTGTTACTCATTATAAGACATGATAGATGACACAGTTGGCTCAAAGCAGACCCTGGGCTCCAACGCTTGAAGCAGCCCGGGAGACGCAGATTCCCAGAGGTATCCTGGAGCTTACTGGGACCTCCTTGACAGGACATGAGGACCCTGATTTCCTCTTCTGCTTCTTCAAGACTTGTGAAGGTGGCTCCTTGGGTGGTGAGGAAAATGATGCCGAGCTTGGGTTTGGCTCCTTCTGGGTTCCCACAAATGTCCTTAACATTTTCCATTTTCTGAGCGCTTTTGTGAAACAGCTCTGATGTGGTTGACAGGATTTGTAGCGAGAGCCAAGTCAAGCCTTCCTCTGGAGGAAAGCTGGAAGCCTTGAAGGGTCTTGTCAGTGCTCACATAGCCCACAGCGTCTTGCTCCCTGTGGCCCAAGGCCGAGGCTTCCCGGCGTCAGCAGCTGAGCACAGTGCACTCATTGATTCCCAGGCCATTTCTCGGGGTGAGAAGCCAACACCCTATAGCCCTGCCTTGGACTCGCAGGAAGCTTTCTCCTGGGAGAGCTTGGCTGGAGCCTCTGACCCGCCTGTGAAGCTCTCTGTGGATCAAGGATCGCTGTGGCCTGCTCGAGATAGTTTCCCTTTCTATGTTTTCTGCAGTTTTGTTTCCAGAATCTTGGAGAAACTTTGAAACTTAAAATTACCAGTGTGCCAGGAATCCCTACAGCCTCCTTGTGTGGGGTAGATGACCACCATATGCTGTTTATATGAAAATGAATGTCTTCCCCCATGGAGAATGTGAGCCTGAATTCCTGGCTAACCCCTCTTTTACCTTAGCAGCTGGAGCAATGGCTCTCTGGGCGAGGGCGGATGTGTGTGCAGATAGAAATTTGGCTCTCAAAAGCCCCAAACATTTGTTAATGCAAGAGATTCATCTTCCAGTGAGGCAGGTGGTGGGTAGGCCCACACGCCCCTGTGGGACTGGTTGAGGAAGTCAGGAGAAGAAGACAAAGAGGTAGTGCTGGAGGATTACCTTCTGCTTCCCTAGGCCGACTTTCAGAGAGGTCCCCTCATCCTGATGAACCCCCAACATCATGAACCCTAGAGACAGGGGCAGGGCAGACTCTTTTTTCTTAGACTTCAAATACATGTGCTCCTCAACTTATGGTGGGTTTCCATCCCAGTAAACGCATTGTAAGTTGAAAATGTAGTGAATCAAAAATCCAGTAATACATCTGACTTATTGGACATGATTGCTTGACCTAACCTACCTTGACTGTGCTCAGAACACTTACATTAGCCTGCGGTTTGGTAAAACTGTCTCACATAAAGCTTATCTATGGTAAAGTGTTGAATACCTCATGTAGTTTATTGAGTATGGTAACAAAAATGAACAACTCAGAATTGCTACATGGATATGCTTTGGCTGTAAAGCAGAAAAATCGTAAGTCAAATGAGAATAAGTCAGGGACTTACTGGAGCTATCGCTTGGCATAAGCAATAGCTATTTTCCATTTATTCATTCATCACCAAATTAGTGAGCTCTTACTACATTACACGCATGCCTGAAATTGCCATAAAGTCGGCCCTTAACCGTTTGCCCCCTTTGATGTCCTTACCAGGGTGTTGGCCCATAACTTAAAAGGTTAGAAGTGAGGAAAACTGAAAATCTACAGGCTAGGGTGCCCTGTAAGCCTGTTACTTGCTGCAATTCAATGATGTTTATTAATTAATTTCTTCCTTCAGCCAACAGTTCCTGAGTGTCTACTGTGTGCTAGACAGCGTGCTGAGCAATGGGGCTTTGAAAAGGAAGAACTGCAGCTGTAATGATAGGGAACTTCAGATAACAGCAGCAAACAATGATGAGGTGCTTACAATGTGTGATAAGTGCTGCACTGAAAGCTTCCCGTGCCCTTTCTCTTTGAATTCCCATTTCGTCACTGTCAGGGAAGGTCATGCAGGTGGGAACACTGACGAGCACAGGATCTACTGACTTGCTCAGGGCCACCGCTATGATCTGGATCTGGTCTGAGTGTGTTTCCCAGTGGTACACGTCTTGGAGGCTCAGTCCTCAGTGTGGCGGTATCAGGATGTGGGAAATTTAAAAGCCTTCTGTATTTTTGAGCCTGAAGTACAAGACAGAGAGAGTAGTGGGTGCTGAGCAGAGGGGAAGGCTCTGGGAGAGCTTTGGGAGTGAGTGTTGCAGATTTGAGTTGCACTAAAATATGTAAACACAGGAAAAGTGATCTCCCTGTTAAGTTGCCTTGCTAATGCCCCTCGTGTTACTTAATCCAACTGATTTTGACTCCATTTCCTAGGAAGCTATGGTATTTCAAAGAAACTGCCGGATCCTTTTCTAGACAAATTTCATGCCTTTGGAAGTGGTTTTTTCCCCCCGAAGTACTTTATACTTTTCATACAACTTTTCAAAGCACCTACCATATGGTAGTGCTCCCACGTGAGAGATGATAGCCCCTTTACTTAGGAGGGAGTTGAAATGAAGTCATCTGTCCACCAAAGTGACAGCTGCAAGGAGAGACATTCTCTCCAGGGCAGCAGGCCCACCATCTGAGCCTGGCCCAGGGAGCCTTCTCCAAGTGTGCCTGTCTCCTCTCAGCTTCCTATCTCTGCCTTCCCTTTGCCGCTGCTTCCCATTATGTAAGCGCATTTTTGCAGAGCCAAGATCTGAGCTGGTGCTGAATATTTTAGGTGTCAAACATCCTGTTTTCCTGTGAGTAATGTGACCCCACCAGTGACCCATTGCATTTCTGAATGACATCATGGGATTAAGCTGAAAATGGTTGAAGAGAAGTGATTATGGGAGCCCAGGGACCTCTGCTTGCCCCTTTATCTTCCAGCAAGTTGTTTGGAGATGACGAACAAAAAGTCTGCAAAGCAGTATCTGCTTTACACAAAAGCAAGTGTCAGCACTCTAGGGCCAGAGGACCAAATCTGGCCCATGGAGCAAATCTAATCCTCGCTGATTTTACAAATAAAGTTTTATTGGCACACAGCCATGCTCACTTGTTTCAGTATTGTCTCCAGCCACTTTTGCACCACCTGTACGACAGAGTTCGTGTGACAAGAGCCCATATTGCCCATATGTGGCCCTTACACAAAAGGTTGGCTGAACCTTGCACTGAAGCCTTCTCCTACCACATAGGAAGAGGCATGTGAACGTAGTGACATCCCATGACTCTGAGTTCTGCAGCCCATTCCCATCCTTTCCTCCTCAAACACATGGTTCAACAAGAAAGCAGATCGAATTTTAACACGCATATCAGAGTTTCATATTTATTCAATGACATCAGAACTTGCACATTTATTAAATGACTGTTACCCTTCCAGGAAGGTCCTTTGGGAGATTGCACACTTATTCCAAAGTGGCTGCCAAAATGCTAGACATCACAGAAGCTGCTCTTAATGGCCAAGCTACGTGATACCTGAGCAAACCCACTTCACTTTCTCTCTAGATGCACATCTACCTAGTTGCCATGGTCAATGTGGGTCTAATAAAAAATTCAAATCAAGCACCAAGGATATTCCAAAGAATTGGCAGTGTGTTCTGAAAGTAATATCTTCAGGGCCAAGGTGGCCTCATTCAATGAACTGAGAGTCAAGGTTAGCTTTGGAAATATCTTCTGGGATGTGGGTGCATGTTTTCAGCATGTGTGCCATTGTTTTCTTCACTTAATAAAATGCTTGGTGGTGATGCTGTCCTCTCTATTCAGGAAATGCTTCCATAATCAAAGGCCTTTATCATCTGCCCCATAATTCCCCTTCTCTTCCCAGCTGCTGTCGGTGGATTTTGCTGAAGCTTGGTTCATTGTACCCATTCAGCTAAGAATGGCTGAAGGACAAGGAAAGCCTCTGTTCAGGTTTGTTTCTCACAGCCAAGGTCAGATGGGAAAGAGTCCCCTGGGACCTGAAATACGGTGTGCTGTCGGTGGGCCTGGTGTTGCTGGGAAAGGCCGGCGGCAGCGGCGTATGAGCGTGTGCTGGTCCCTCTTGTGCACTCGGGACTGCTCTGGTGGAAGGCGTATGGAGTTTAGTGGTTTCAGAAAACCACGAAATGCCTACTTACTGCTCCACATTTTTGCTTTCTCATTTTCCTTCATCTTGTTCTGCAAAGGGAGCATTGTGTGGCCAGTCCTGTAGAAAAAAGATGAACTCATTAACAAATTGTGTTTTTGGTCCTTTCTTCTGTTCCTGTCCTTTCCTTTTCCATTTCCCCTCCTCTCCACTTCCTCCTGCTCCTTCCTCCACTCCAACTTCTTCCACTCCTCTCTTCCCTTCCTTCTCCTCTTTCTTCTCCTCCTGCTCTTATCATCATCCTCTCCTTCCACACCTCCCCGCCTCCTTCTCCTCTCCCTCTCCCCCTCTCCTCTCTCTTCTCTCTTCTCTCTTCTCTCTCTGCTTTTCTATTTACGAAAAGGCATTGCCACTCACACAGAATGTCTGTTTCATAACATTACTTCCCTGAGTTCTGCTCTGCCAGAGTCTCAGACACAGGACTCTGGGAGAGAGTTGCTCTAATCCAGATTTGGATATATACTTCCTATGAAACTAAATGTGCTTGCGAGTTTAAGAATGATCAAATGGATTGCTAAGATTCACGAAGGATTTTGTTGAAATCAAAAGTGTAAATTCCTCCCCAGTGCTCCCGGATTTGTACCCGCCCCACCCCCAGCTCTGAACTGATTAAGGGATAGTTTGGGTTGGGAGGCTTTCCTTTTTCCATGCTGGGGATTGAGCCCAGGGTCTCACACTGAGTGCATCTCCCAGCCCTTTTAAAATTTTATTTTGAGATGGATTCTCACTAGTTTGTCCAGACTGAAGTGGCAATCCTCCTGTCCCAGTCTCCAACTCCACCCAGCTTGTTTCGACGTTTTCTTGCTCCAGAGACCAGAAATTAAACTTGAATTTCTATCTCTGGTCCCAGGTGTGAAGTAGAATCTGGTCTTGATGTTATGGGGTCAAGTCATTGTGTCTTGGTGCCCAAAGGTGTTGCAGAGAGGGGTTCCTGGTTACACTGCATGTGTCTGTACTATATACTTTTTCATCAACACATATTTTTTGCATATATGGTGGCCCAGTGCCCCTGGAACCTTTCATGAGTTAGAATTAATTGTTCTATTGTTTTTTTTTTTTTTTTTTTTGGTACCGGAATTGAACTCAGGACCTTGTGATTGCTAGGCAGGCGCTTGTGCCTCTGAGCTACATCCCCTGCCTGTTATGTTGTTTATGCACCACACCAGAACGATATGTGAAAGGCCAAGCGAGCAAGACTTTGGGATGTTTGCTTTCATATTTTGGGCTTAGTGTCTATTTTGGTAATACTTAATATTTAACCAAGTAGCTTTGGGGTGTGAATCCTCCAAAGGTTGAATCCCACAGGACTTCTATCAATCAGTCAGTATGTGAAGGAACTTGTGCTTTGTTTATAAAAGCTCTGGCATCACAGTTCCTTGGGTGATTTCCAAGCTGGCATGGCTTGCCACCAGAGGAAGTGGTAAGGAGGGGGACTTTTTGCTTGAGAGCTCTTTAGTTTGCAGGTTTTTCTTTAAAGAAAAGAGGTGGCTTGAGAAATGTTTGCTGGAAAGCTCAGTACCTCAACTTTGCTGCTGAGAGAAGAAGCACTTGTCAAGGGCTCCATTTAGGTTCACTTCTTAGGATTCACAGGCACGAAGGGCTCGGTTTAATAGGTGGGGCATGTTTCTCCAGGCAGACCTACTGGAGGTGGAATGATGGCTCTGTTCCTGCCATTGGTAGTGACTCTGTTCTTGCCATAAGGAGTAGGGAGGTAGCAGGCTGAAGACAGAGAGCAGAGCAGAGATGGAATGCGGAGGATGTCAGCCAATGTGCGCCTTCCCTGCCCTCCAGAAAAGCTGAACCCCTTCAAAAGGGCTGTAGACATCTGGACAGTCATTCCTGCCCTGGGCCGCATCATTAGTCCGAGGTACGCTTGTTGTGTGAGTGCTCGTGTGACCTCTGTGCCTCACGCCTTACCTGTCAGTGATTACCCGGTCTCCATCACCCAACAACGGTTCTGAGAAGCTACCCTCTGCTAGCCTGTCCCTTCAGCCCACCGTGGAGTGGGAATGTTTGCTCTCATTTCAAAGGTCTGTGCCATTTGGCAATATTTTAAGAAGAACCTTTCCCTGTATCCTCCTTTAGTGAGTCCCAGAGTTGACTCAGGCTGAAAGAATGCAGGAAATAGCCCTTTGGGAATCAGTGATGACCCGTCTTAAGCCCCAGTTAACTTCTCAGTCTACTCGGTTGGTTTACCACTTCCTGCATGAAGACTTGCTCTCTGTGGAGAGTCACTTTTGACTGACTGATTGATGATTTATTAGTTCACTCATTCAACCCATCCAATACACATTCGTTTAACATTTTTTTTTTTTTTTTTTGGTTTTTCTCTGGTATCGGGAACCGAACTCACGACCTTGCGCTTGCCAGGCAGGCGCTTTGCCGCTGAGCTAAATCCCCAGCCCCCTCATTTAACATTAATGTGCCAAATTTTAATCTACATGCTGTGCTACAGCGTGGGACAAAATCAAACAAGGGTCCTGCTCCTATGGAGCATACTTCCCTGCCAGGAAGACAGGCAGTACACAGGCAACAAAGAAACACACAGATAAGGATAACAACTTTGAGCGGCAAATGCAGCACAGAGAATGAAAGGAAGGTGGTGTGACAGAGTGACTGGCGGCTACCAGACAATGGTCAAGGATAGTATCCGGGAGGAGATAACCTTTAACCTAAGATGTGGAGGATCCATAGCCCGACTCTTCAGGAAGAGGAAGGTGAGAGTATGCTGGGTATGAGGAGAAACTGATGCAGAGTGCCTACCCTGAGCTAGGCACTTGACAGGAAAAAAAGAGAAAAAGTCCCTGAAGCCAAGAATCTAGATGGGAAGACAGTCACAATACACCTAGAGCAACACTGCGATGGAAAGGGAGTTCTGGCGCATGGAGCAAAGATCCCAAAGGCTGAACAAAAGGGTCAGAGAAGCCCTCCCGCGAGAAGAGGGGAAAACAAATGTGAACAAATGTGCAAATGTGCTCACAGCACAGAAACACATCTGAGGGACCAAGAAATTTCTGTGGAGTTTTCAGGAAAAGGGAGGGCCTGTGGGAGATGAGACTGGGGAGGCAGACACAGACCTGCTATGAGCTTGGGGTTTAAATTCCAACAACAATGAAGGAACCGCTAAACACCGGTAAGTGGGACAGAGACACAGTCCAATTTATTTTTGCAAAGAGCATATCTTAGCTGGGCATAGTGGTATGTGTCTGTAGTCCCAACTGTGTAGGAGTCTGAAGCAGCAGGATCACTTGAACCCACAAATTTGAGACCAGCCTGGGCAACATAGTGAGTCATAGTTCCTTTTCTTGTTGCTGAGACAAAAAATCCAACACCTAAAGTTAAAGGAGGAAAGGGTTATTTGGCTCACAGTTTGTAGAGGTTTCAGTCCATAATTAGCTGGCTCCAAGGCAGGGTGGCATGGCCTGATCATTACCATCGGTTCTACCAAAACATTCAATGTCTCCTTGCAAGGCCCGATGGGAGACTTGCCTCTCCTACTGTCCAGCCTGGTCCCACTAGTGACTCCACCTGTCCTTTGACTGCATGGGACTTCCAATCCATTGAGTCTACTGCGTTTTCACTATCTCTCACTTCCTTGACATCCTCTTTCCCTATCATAGCGAGCTTACCTTCCCCACCCATCACTGAACTTCTCCCTTGCATACACTCCAACTCCTCGCCCTTCTTGGATCTGCACATTTGGCAAAAACTTCAAACATGGTTAAATTCAACTTTCTTGCTGCTAGGCACCTGTAACTGAAATGTAACTAAGGGAAAACACAAACCCACCATGACTGATGGTGGCCTCACTTTAAATTTATGGCCACCAACTACAAGTGGGTCCTTAGATTCATGTGGCAAACTATTCCCCTACCTAGATATTCACTGTCCAATTCTCCTTGAAGATTATCATATTTCTCATCTCTCCTCAAACCTCCCACATCTCTTCCTGCATCTTCACTCTCGGCAGGCTACCTTGCTTCCCCTTTTATTGAAAAGCCAGGTGTAATCAGAAGATAAAAGAACTTCCCAAAGCTCCCACCACCAGCTAGGTTACAGTGGACGTGTCTGCATCTTTCTATCTAAGGGTAACCCTTCCACTTTTTCACTAGATTCCTACTTCCTCTCACCTACTCAGTGAGGCTGTAAAAATTCCGCCCTTTTTCCTGTAAATCATGATTTTTCCTGGGCTATTAGAGCACTTCCGTCAATGAACAAAGCCAGCTCAATCCACCTCTTCCCTTGCAATTGCCCCATTTTCTCTTTCCTTTTCACATTAAAGCCCCTTAAAAGAGCCAGTATTCATATCTTCCAAATTCTCTCCTCTTATTTGTATCTTCTCTCCCTCTTATTAATGTATCAAAGATGCAGAAAGATGGTTAGCAAGGAGTGCAGAGTGCAAGAGGCCAGTGGAAATGGAAATTTTATAACATTAAGACAAAAAAACCCTCCTCCCTTGAGCAGTGGATCTGCTTTCATGTCCAAGAGGAATGGAAAAATATGAAAATAAAACATCCAATCTCAATAATTATTTAGAAACACAATTCTATGAAAATTGCAAGACCTACCAAGGTCTACAGTAAAACTTCTAGTTGTACTGGCAAAAATTTTAGACATCTTAGATACAGAAAAGTATAAGGAAGTACATTAAGATTCTTCCATTGCATTTTAAACTATATGGTTGTTGGGATTTTGTAAGAAATAGTGAAACAATACAAAAAACTGCAGAGAACAGTATAATAAATATGTGTGGTCCCATTATCCCTAATTAACATGACTACTACTTGAAATGGTACATTTGCACCACATATTTTAATGTTTTATTATGAAGAAGTTCAGACATATATAAAAGTAAAATGTTTAATAATGTAGAAAGTAAAAAGAATATTCAACCCTCATGTACCTATAATCTGCTTCAAAATTATTCAGTCATAGCTAACTTTTTTTTTATCTGTCTCACCCATTTCCCTCCCAAATTAATTGGAAGAAAATCCTATATATTGTATAATTGTAACTATACCATATATATAATCCTTAATATCCAGTCAATATTCAAATGT